GGGTAGGTGTTCATGGGGTCGTGTCCCATGTATGAGGAGAAGAGGGGGATTGGGGTGGAGTGAATTACCAAGGAGGCTTTAAGACTCTGTTTCAACGACCCTTCAACATCCATTTCTTGAAATTAACATATCTGGTTGACTTCTCTGCAGTTTTCTTTGAGTGACTTATGCTTTCCTTCTTGTCGCCTTCTGTAGATGAGTTACTCCAAGAGCTGGAAAAAGAACGCTGCGCCAAGATTGAAGCTGAGAGGAAGCTTAAAGGTAAGCTAGGTGCGTGAGACGCGCTATTCTTTTTTTTTTTTTTTTTTTTTTTTTTTTTTTTTTTTTTAGTGGAGCGTTAGTATTTCTCTTCATTTGATATCATCAGCAAGGTTTCCTTTCAAACAGATTTATCTTAAATGAAGCAAGATGATAAGTTCAAAAGCTCCCATGCCAGGTTACTAACGTGAAAACATTAATCACGTAAAGTAATGACTCGTGCAAGTTTAAATTTTCTGTTGTAGATGGCATAAAGAACCCTTGTCGAGGAAATCGTTTGTGGCTCGGGGAATTAAATCTTTTAGTAGGTTTTATTCTTAATTCTGACCTCTGAGAGTGATAAGCATCTAGTTTTTCTGTGGATTTCTTCTCATAAATCAAACATTACAGAATTATAGAAAACCGAAGAATCTGCAGATGTTGAAAAAATTCTCTTTGTCAGTACCATAGGAAATGTAAAGAGAACAGTATGGAGAATATGCATGCTGATGTTAGGGTGTGATGGGTTAACAATTGTCTTTGGAAAAGTTTTATCACCAATGTTTACAGCGAACATGTCTTCTTGTATTTGTATGTACAGCGCTTGTGATTGGTGCATTTAACTCCGTGATCTTTTTTCCATGACAGAAGCTAGAGGGGAGATCCAGAACTTTGTTCATAACTTTCTTGAAAATCCGAGTCAAGAAGGGCCTGGGCACCACCGATCAGAAATGGAGCCGGATGAGCTAAACGGGGTCGAAGTGGTGAAGGACGAACATATCGTCACAACATAGGTCTGCAATGCGTTTGCACTTTGTCACCTGCTGAAGAGGGCGGTTTGAACGAAAGACAAAGGTAGCGAGCGATAGTGAAACGGAAATTATCTGAACCATGAGGAACGCAAGAGCCGACCGCAGAAATATAAGAGAATAGCTGTCGTTTTTGTTATGAAGTTCGTTTGTTCTAGTTGAAATTGCCGACGTTGAAAATCAGTTTGCCATCCCAAAAGAAAAAAGTTAATCGTGAAATCCTTGGACGATTGGCAAAGGAAAGCTCGATCCTTCGATGAATTCTTGTTTGGAGATAATTATGTCAGAAAATACACACAGTTTAAAGTTGTTCTCTCTGTGTTGCAAACAACTCGCTAAATGCTATTCAATGGTAGTTATCGATTTGATTGTTCGGAACTACAGCTGCATATTTTTATACTTTTGTAAATTTGAAAGACAGTAATTCGTTCGTGGCATTCATTTGAGATTTGATGATTATTTATTTTTTATGCGACAGGAGCTGTTTTTATATTACTCAGCGTAGTTTTTTTGTATATATATTTCTCTAAATAAAAAGAAGTTTTGTTTCGTTGTCCAGTTTAAGCTGCTTTATTCAAATTTTTAGTTACAGTAATTTGTCTACAGTCGGCCATCTGAGCATCTCAAGCAAATGTTTTCTTTAATTCAAGGTTACAATGAGAGCAATTCCTTTTTCTCACTGTCCACCCTGGGAGAAGCGAAAAAACAAATGCAACGTAAAACGGGTCAAGAGTAAACTACTAGTGGATCAGTCCCTGCTTTTCAGCAAAGTCTGCCGCGTGAGTCCCGAAAAAAAATCAGTGAAAAAATAAAATTGGAACTTCGGGAATGAGGCGCACGAACAGAGTTCCGTGCGGCGTTTTCTTCACTGAATTTTTTTAACACGCGCGAAGGACTCAGAAAAGGAGTGACTGCTGGTAGTCTGGAGCGACAGCGAGAGCCCAATGATTCCATACATAGCTAGAAAATAATAACTTATAAACAGCTCATCTTTTTAATATAACTTACAGCTGTGCTTTTACAGCGACAACCACTATATACTCAGAACTCAAGACTCTGTTGAATCTCGTTCATCGTGCGCGCGCAGGTCTGAAGTTTCTTTGCCTCGTTTTCGTCCAAAGTCTGCTTGATGACGTACATGATGCCATGGGAGCCGAGCACGCAAGGAAGGCTGAGAAACACCTCTTCTTCGATTCCATGAAAACCCTGAATTGAAAA